TTAATCCCATATTAACCTTATATAAAAAAATTTATATTGTGTATATATAATGTAAAATTTTTTTATTCGAAAATATAATAAATTAATAGAATCGATTCTAAAATGAGAATTAATTCTAATTCAAATAAAAAAATACTTGTCTGAACCTAATATTAGAGATGTATATATATATTATAGTATTATTATTCTTTATTTTTATTTTTTATTTAAAGTAATATATATTATTGTTGTACTATAGGGAATATCAATTTAAAAAAAAAAATTATTATTTAAAATTCTATTTATTGTTTATTAAAAAAATAATAAAATGATTTTAATGCTTGATAAGCTTTTTTGGAACTTCATTGGAAATATATAAAAGATTGATATTGTGCAAAAGAAGTATATTATGTAGAGAATTTTACATTGTGTATATATTATATAAATTCTCAATATGATGTAACGTATTTTATCACCGAGTGAATCATATCACCAAATGAATTACTTAATTTATATATAAAATTCGTTTGTATATAGTTGTATACTTTATTTATTTATCAATAGAATTTTTTAAAAATTTAATGTATAAAATCTAATTAAAAGTTTATTATGAAAATCTAATTTTTTTTTGAATATTTAAGTTAATATAAGAATTGTTATAGAAATAGTTTTTTTATAACAAAAATCATAACATTTTCAAATTTTTATCGAATTTAATAAAGATATTTATATAAAAATTAAATTTCTAAAAAGCTAAATTATTATTATTATTTTAAATTTTTAAATTTTTAGAAATAATGATTGATTATTAAAATAAGAATATTTAAAAATAGTTAATTTTGGTATATTTTCAAATGATTCATTTGGTGATATAATCTACTTGGTGATAAAACACGTTATATAGTAACGTGGTTTATCATCGAGTGAATCACTTTCACCTTAATTTTTTATGCATTAATTTAATACACATTTTATTAATCAATTATTATGAAATCGATTATCAAAAAAGCTTGAATACTCCTAGCTATTAAGATTATTCAAAAAAATAAAAAACTTAATATATAATGATTTATTAAAATATATAATATATTATTTATAATATTATATTATAAATAAATAATTTAATTTTATATATCAAAACTTAAATGAATTAATATAAACTTATAGAATTAAAAGAGAATATTATTATTTAATATATTCTTGATATAAATTTAAAAGGTTTTTTATTTCAATTTAAAGAAATAAAAGATATAGTAAATTATATTCTTGAATTAAAAAGTAGAAAAATGATTAAAAAGCTTTGGGTATATTAATTCATAAAGTGTTATAAAAAATTAAAAATATATTTTAATTATATTTATAATTTTCAAAAAGTTTTGTATAAGAATTCTAAGTTTCTTTAAAAGTGATTTTATCTTATATTAAATATATAAGCAAAATATAATATATTAGATTATAATATATAGAATTTCAATAAAATAGATTTTATAATAGGAATTATAATTACTAATATAATAGTTATTAATACTAAAAAGAGTAATAGAAGTAAAGTAGTATAATTAGATAATAAGAAATAAGTAATAATAATCATATGTAATAATAGTATAAGGGAAATTATACCTTTATTTCTGATAATTCAAGAATAAGTGCATTTCTTTAATTAATATATGGAAATCAATTTTCCTATAGATTAGGTTATTAAATCTATTAATAATAAATAAATAAATAATAAAACAGAATTAGAATAATTAAAATATTTCAATAAATATATAAGGAATTATAGAATAAATAAATATCGAATATTAATATTAAATGAATATAAAAGTTATAAATTTATAGTTTTTTAATTATATTATAAGGAGAATGATATTATATACATATACCTATTATTATATTTAAATCATTTAATTTAATTATTTAATATCAAATATTTTAATAAATTAAAACAAGAATATAATACTCAAATTAAGGATTTATAAGAATATATATTAATTATATCTCAAAGATCGAATTCCTTATAGTTTTTAAAACTATATATTAATAATCGATTACAAATCAGAATATAAAATCTGAATTCCAAGAAATAGAATTAATATCTTTTGATTTTGAAATAATAATCTCAAAATTAAATATTCGAATATATATATTTATTCTTTTTCCTTTTATTAATTTAGATTTTTGGATTTTTCAAACTTCTTATAATTCTATAAAAACTTTTTTTCAATTAATATTAATTAAATTTCGAATAAATCGTTATTAATTAAGTTTTCTTATATCTATATTTAAAATTATATTAACTTTAGTTAAAGATATAAAAAGATTAATTTATAAGAATATATTTTTAAATATAGAGATTTATATATTTCAAAAAGCAAATAAGATATTAAGCAAATATTAATATACAAAAAAAACTCAATTATATTAAAAAGGAGTATTTATTAGATAGGAAAACTATAAATATATTATTTCAGTAAGAAATTAATATTCAAATTCAATATAATAAATATTAAAAAAAAAGAATTCCAATAAGAAAGTATTTTCTAATTAATATTATAATAAATATGAAAAGATAAATTATAATACAAAAATCTATTAAAATAATATAATAAATTCTAGATTATTAGAATCTTAATAGTTTTAATTAATTAATTTAATTATTATTGAATAATATAAATTTAAAATGGTAAATTAAGGTGAAAGTGATTCATTCAATAATATGATCCACTCGATGATAAACCACGTTATATAAAATCTTTATATAATGTATATATCATTTACTAGTTACGCATAGCTCCACTAAGGATATCATTATTTTCACGTGCAAGCGAGAATAAGTCGGGCGAGAATAAGTCGGTAGGAAAGACCAGTAAGGCCTCAGCAAAAGGCTTCTGTGGTGCCCCAATACCCAAAAATCATATGGACCTGTGGCGCAGTACTTAAGTCTCCCAAATTGGTTTTAGGGTCATACAATAGCAACAGAGCAAAGTTAAGATCAACTTGATACCGTGTGTTATCTTACTACAATATCGGATTCAGAAGTAAGAATCATGAAGAACGTACCTCAGCAACTGGTTAATATTACGATCCAGGAAGTTAAATACAAAGATCTTTGAAAACTTAAGTTTGTGATGATAGCTACAAAGAGGACCGAGGGCAAGTTGAATAAGTAAACTTGCTGTTTTCATAGAAACATGGGACCTTCTGAATAGACGGAGTAGAGGACAATCGTCTAAAGTTGCTTTCCAATTTCCGTAAACATGATTCTGCAATTTTTATTAGGTATAGATAGGTAACGTTGATATCTCAAGATTCAAATTGAGCACCAAATTGCGGAATAATATTTGACCGAGAACGAAGGGAGCTCAGATAAGGTTAATGACGTGCACGTAAACGCCCTTTGGTGCGAAATTTGATCCAAATTTCAATCCATATTTCGTAAAGCTACAAGTGCGATAGTCTTTGGACGACCATCATCCGAGAAACTTATTGACGGTTGATGGTTTGCTTTGATTGCTGTTCGTGAGGGTCGGACCCTGAAGTGCGCTGTGGGTGGCGAGCATAAAGTATCGTGTCGTGCTATAATTTGATTGAAGCATCTTTCCACGCCAACACACCCACCCTACTGTTGTACCGAAATTCACAAGAGGAAAATTAGTCCAATTCTACCTGATACTATCCCACTAGATCAACGGTCAGGTTAGTATCGGCGTCGAAGGAACCTTTGAGTGGTCCGCCCCACGCTACCGTGGCTGTACATATCTACCAGAAAACGTGGTTCGTAATCAAGGTGGCTGGCTCGGCTGGGAGTTATCACTGCCCCTCTCACTCAAGCAACGCCAAGAACCTCGTGTATGAATTTTAAGCTTCATTTTGGTGCTAATTGACGGATCGCCAGCCCCCAGAAAAATCAGATGGACGGCTAGGATGGCATGAAGCCAACAATTAAACTTTGTGTGTCCGGGTCGGTGTCGTATATCATTGGCTCAAATCTTGTTCCTCGTGTCTAAGACTCGCACTAACGTCAATCCATCGAAGCTTCTGGCACCATCTTTAACCTCATTCTGCGTGCCGATACGACACATACGAGATATCAAAGAATTTTCTCTCAGCATGACCCAGCTTGCAATTGTCATAACCGAAAAAAAAAAGTCAAACTGGCTCTTTTTTAAGAAGGGATTTGAATTTCTTTTTCATATTTGAGAAGATTATAATTGGGGAAATAGAGTTTAACCTATTGAATTGCTCTTACAGACAGTTCCAAGAAGAAACACTGTCTCATTCTTTGGATATCAAATTCTGATCCGGGTGTAGCATTTTGGTGCTCGGCATTTTCTATCCGTCGCGAGCTCAGGCATTCAGATCCCCACAAACATCTTTTTTCGTCAAGCCACTCGTACGAGAACCAAGACTTTTAGTAACATGGTTGTGTACCAGGGCTCAGATCGTTCTTCATGACAATGACGTCTAGGGCCAGATATATTTTGGGCAGACCCCTGCTTTTGAGATCAGCGGATAAGCTAGACTCCCCGATTCCGAATCTAGCACAATCGAATAACTGGTTTTGGAATGTCGGCCGTCGGTTATGTGAACTTTATTCAATCTCAAAATCCTAATTAGGTCATTTTCTTTGCTAAATATCTATTCTTGGTATGAGGCTCTTGGTCGGTACGACTTTGAAGGCAAGAATGTGTTGGCTAAAGCAATTCTCGGGAAACTATTGGAACCATTGAATAGGTACGAGTTATTGTGGGTCGCCCCTCGGTAAATACTGGGGACAACATATTGATGTGTTATGTGTACCAAGTCATGTGAGATAGCGCAGTGGAATCAATGGATGTGTAGAACATCGATGGATCAAATTTAGTATATAACGTGTCGAGTTCTTCCTCGAAACTCATGATATCAAGCAATCAATTCATCACATACTTTTACGATCACTTCTTAAAAACTATTCAAATCCACATCTTCGATCCGACTCAACAACACCCGATTAACAAAGAATAATACAATTTCGAATCGAAATGCATTTCCAAGATATTGCATTCGCTCTCTTTGTAACTGGAGCATTCGCTGCACCAGCTGCGTTAAAATCTAGAGATGCATGCTCTGATACCTGCAACACTGAGTACAACACCTGTCGAAGTGCTCCAGGTGCGAACCAATCCACTTGTGCTTCCAACTATGCGTCATGCCTCGGATATTCCCCGTATGATAGCAATGGATCACTTGTCACCCCAACTGCTTGCTCCTCGTCAGTAGCATCGACTACAGCTTCATCCGCTACATCATCCGCTACAGCTGATGCTTGTGTCTCCCAATGTAACGCTTCATATAACACCTGCCGAAGTGCTCCAGGTGCGAACCAATCCACTTGTGCTTCCAACTATGCGTCATGCCTCGGATATTCCCCGTATGATAGCAATGGATCACTTGTCACCCCAACTGCTTGCTCCTCGTCAGTAGCATCGACTACAGCTTCATCCGCTACATCATCAGCCACAGCTGATGCTTGCGTGTCCAAATGTAACGCATCATATAACTCATGCCGTACTGGGCCAAACGCAAATCAAGCTACATGTGCTTCTGAATACTCAACATGTCTTGGATACTTTCCATACGATAGTAACGGATCACTCGTCACCCCAACTGCTTGCTCCTCGTCAGTAGCATCATCAACCACTGCTGCGGCCACAACCACTACTCAAGCTGCTTCGTCTGCTACTGCTACAACTGACGCTTGTGTGTCTAAATGCAACGACTCATACAACTCATGTCGATCTGCTCCAGATGCTAACAGAGCTACATGTGCATCTGAATATGCCGCATGTCTTGGGTATGTACCTTTTGACAACAGCGGATCCCTCGTTACCCCTACCGCATGCTCAAGTAGCGCCGTTCCTACAACAAATGCACCAAGTTCCACACAAGCCCCTCAAGCTTCCGGAACCCCTTCTCCAGATCAAACCTCAATTGTAGAAGGTGTCGAATGGACTATCAAGCAATTGACCAGATACTGTTCCGAAGATGGATCTGGATGTGATTACAACTTTGCCATCTCCTACAATGATGAGCGACCTGATGAGAGATGTACCGTCATTCGTATGCCAGGAAGTGGTGCTACTACCGAGTCCTGGTATGGAATTCCATGTACTACAGGGTCCGTAAACACCATCTCTTGGGGAGTTTCTGACCAGTTTGGTGCTGAAAATGCATTTGCTGTTTTGACTGTCACCAACAACGAAGAGAAGACAAATGCTTACTTCGGTGTCGCGAATGTGAACGGAAATCCAGTCACTCCTTCAAGTCCAGCCGGATCCGGCAACTTTGGAGACATTGGTCCTGAGCCAGTTTATGTCTTCTAAGAGATCGATTGCTTTTCTGCTTTTGTAGCGATTTGGAGATGATTTAATGAACGATGATATTCATGTTTCGGATTACTGTATAATAACACATTCCTTTATGTATTTTTGTGTGAGCGTCATTGGGATGACAGGGAATGAGGAACTACTTTACATAGAGCACGCTCCTTAGATATAATTATTAGATATAATCAATAAACTTTTTGCATTTAGCTACATGGCTGCCTTCAATCGAATTCTGAATCAATGACTAAATCCTCCTTCGCGCATGTCTCTTTTTGCATGCTCTACCGTTATGTACGATAAAAAAAGGTATGATTAGACTTGTCAGTATTTCATACGCCCGACTTGTTGCCAAAATGGCTATCTTAGATCAAGGTGCAGCTTTCGAGATCGCTTCCCACTCTCGCGTTATCCCCCGCTCTTCATGTATTCGGGTATCTCGATATTGATTGCCTGACATGAGATAATACACATACCCACTTACACACCTAATGGCACATTTTTTTAAATGCTTGGCTTGTAGCTGAGCTCATTGCATAGAGTGCAACCATCCATTTAAATATCACAATAAACGTCGGAGGTTGTTGATTGTAATATTGCAGCCAGTCGACTCGAGATAATCTTATGTTAAATAAGTCTTTGTGCTCCTTCTAGAAGATCTAGTTGGGTTTAAATTCAGATCAAAATTTGAGGCCGGTTGCCATTACTTGGCATTGAAAAGATCTTTATGGGAGGACCAAGAGAGCTTCCATCACGTGAGCCTTGGAGTTTGGAATTCAATGCAAATACCTGAAATTAAGCCAGTGGAAGTGCGTTGTAGATAAAGTATTATTCACTTTGAGTAGAGAGAAGTGAGATTTGATAGAAGAGAATTCTTCGCCTGAGGAGATATATGAAATTGTGGAGAATCAACTTGGCATATTGTCAGTGAGAGTCAAATGGACGTTAAAGATCATACAGTGCTTTTAGGATATCATGTATAAAATGAAGCTTAGGTCGTCCATGTTCTTCTTTCCATGACCATTCATTACTCCTTTTCCATTAATCTCAAATGAACCGATCATCATTCGAAAAGTCAACATACAAAGCAACAACTCCAGGCAGAATGAGAATTTCTGTTCTTAGAACAACTTTATGTTTCACCTTCCTCGGTAAGAGTCTTGGAGCTGGGGCTAGATATTGCAAAGATTTGAATACGGTGGGAATTTGCTTTGATGTTGATCTCGCCGCCGGTTATTGTAGTTCGTTCTCTGTTCTCAACCGACTTCTGAAATACCTGCTTATAATGATGGACAGGAAATGTTGACCTCAGTGTAAACGATCAAACAAACTCCGTTCAAAATGGCGGTGGACATCGAAAACGGAAATTGTGGTAGTGATTATACGAACCAACTGGACGGTAGAATATAGGAATTTAATAATGTTTGTGGCGGAGGTTGGCAAAAGCGAGTCTCATCCTTCAAATGTTATGATGGAAGTGTCGCTAATACTTGATATGCTGGGAGTCGTCCAAGTTGTACTGAAAAGGGCTCCGAAATATCAATTCTCATACTCTAGGATCTCAAATCACTCAAGATCTAATCATTTAGACTTTCATCTCTTGGTCCATTATATTTGAAATATCTCATAGCAACATTACAAGCATCAACTATATTATCTGAATCAAAATCACCTCTAATTATATTCTTAAATTTACATATCAATTATGAATTTATCTTTATAGTATTATTGTCAAATTGAATGATAATCTCTGTTCTCTTGGAGCCCTTGACTAGCTTTTTGAGTGATTTGGAATGAACTTTGATTACTAGAGTTTTAATAGTAGTAGTAATATTGATGAATAGCTGTTATTTATCCGGGACGAATACTGTAGTTCTTCTTGGGAGTAGAAGTGTTTGTTATGCTTCATGTGGAGATATTTTTGTTTGCACAGGTAATCTGGAAAAGTCCGACTTCGGCTTCATTGTATCGGCACCACTCAGTGTTGTAATTAGTATACGGTAGTATTACTGTGACTGATAAAGGAATGTACAATATGCACACTAGTACATATAATGGCCAATGATATTCATATCCATACATATCATACAAAAAGAGCTGGACTGAAGGTATACTGAAATATAGGGATTCATATATTTCCACTCGAATATTACATATTTCATTCGAATATTACATATTTTGATTAACTTTAAGCCTAATGAGGAAAGAAATTATTCAAAATATATAAATTTCCGTATTTCAGCATATTACTAGTGATATTTGATATTATTGAAATATGGAATACTTTTAGCAATATATAATTCAATAATAATTACTAAAATATATTTATAAATATCAATACATATCATCAAAGTGGGGCGTAATTGAAATACGGAAAATACTAATTACAACACTGGCACCACCATCTCCGTACTAACTACATGGTAGTATTAGAACCATTTTTTCGCAGCTAGAAGAAAGTCAATAGACTCGGTATAGTTCCAAGCTAGTACAGTTACTATTGTCAGTATATTTGCCGGAATCGATGATGAGAGTAGAATGACTGTGGCGAACAACGGGCAATGCGCCAAGATCAGCAGGTCTACCGCTGGCGAACAAACTTTTTGAATATCGCTGCAATATCTAGATTTTTAGTGTGGGTTTGGAACGCAATGCGCAGGTTCGTGAGACTAAGAGTGGAGAAATGGTGAAAGACTAAGATGGTCGAGATGTTTGAAGCTCTGTGGAATGAAAACTGATTCAAAGAGGCAATCCGTTGGGCTTTCTATTCAAAATTGGTGTACTATCTAGAAAGGTCATTCGATTCACGATGCCGAGGTCGTGGATCGAGTATTGCTACTATGTGATTGCTACAAGTCGTACTTGAAATAGAAAATTCTCTTATTCAAGAAAGATTATTATAAAAAAGCTGAAATTGATTTTTTTTAAACATGGAATATTCAAATATTCAAAAAAATATTATTTTAATCCAACGAATTCTATTATATATGGATTTTCCTACGAAGAACTCCTATTATAAAAGAAATGTATTAATAATCAGAAAATCATGATTCTATTCTAATTCTTTGCAAACGATTTTGTTGTAAAAAGAATACTTTTTATAAAAGGGGCTTTAATTATTGAAAACCCTTGATCTCTTTACGCGTTATTTATACTAATAAGATGATCACCGTATTACAGTAAAATAAAGCAACGAATTCACATCTACTAACGAATAAACAGCTCATCTAGTTGATCTCCCCAATAGGTTCTCCTGCACTGCAATACAATGTACAAAAAGGAGAGAAGGGGGTGAACTTATACCAGAGATTTTGCAAATGGTCAAACTCAATATGTTGCATAGACTACCAACATTTGGGGGCGAAGCCTCGAGGTTGGGTGAGAATGCTGGTGAGGCTACCCACCAGCAGTTGATCGATCAGCTTCGCGAACTCACCTATTCCCTCGAGTCAAATGATGATACGATACAGAGGATAATCTACCGTGTAAGTAATGGTATAACACCACTTATAGATTTGACTGATTTCAACTCAGCAACTGGAAATTGTAGTGGTTCGAGTGGGTGAGGAACTGAAGAATCTCAAGCTTCTGGCTTCTTGGGAGACCTATCTAACGGTAGAAAAGCTCTCCAAGGAAACCAATGCTGAACCTGTGTTACTTAGCTGAATCTTAAAATATCTTGCCTCAATGAAGCTCATCAAGGAGACCTGAAAAGACTGGTATGCTCCTACGAAAATCACCAAAACACTCGCCGTTCCACGTAACACAGCTGGTGTCAATCATTAGCAGGGTTCACACATCTTTATCCGACTATGATCTAGATTCCGATATCTCGCAGATTCAATTTTGTCAGACTCATGTGGGCTGATCCTCAAAACTTCTTTGCGAATCACAAGCATCAGATTATGAATGACAGTAACGATACATGCTGCAATTCTGCCAATCAAAATAGATGAGCATATCTTAGCTGGTCAGGACGTTACCCTGGAGAATGGATGCTACAATACATGCAAGGCCAGAAGACGTGGTTGGATACTTTCTTCCTAGAGAAAGAAGTGGGTGGCTGGAAGTCAACAAGTGGTAGAGGCGTGCCTCTAGTCGATGTCGGTGGCACTGCCGATCGTATTTTAGATGAATTCAAGGCCAAGACTGCCGGCATCGAAGGCCGAGTTATCTTATAAGAACTTCCCAAAAACAACACCCTGCGACCAGGGCAGGACCAGCCACACAATACTAATGCAGCTACTGAGAATCCTGATGTTGAGACCACAGCCTATGACATCGATACTCCTCAGCCCGCCAAAGGTATGCACAATCCCAGGATTTTCTCAAGAATTCTAGCCAGTTAAGTGCTGCAGATGCCAAATTTACTACAGCAGAAGTGTATTCCATGATTTTCAAGATGAGAAATGCTGCCGCTCTATTCTAAGCAACATTGTTCCGGCGATGGGCAAGAAATCAGTTTAGTGAAGAGGTCTTCCCTGGCTTCAATGTCAGTTGGAAGACGTCCCAAATTGATATTCCAATGACGGCATGTTTTGTCTCTATTGAGCGAACAGAGGCAGTCAGGGGTGCCTTGCTTGATTTCGTTGTACTCAAGGTTGCGAGAAATATCTATATCAACTCGAGTCCTATGAAAGTGTACTGGTCGTTGTACGGAAGTGAAACGCATCTTTGGAACAATTCTTATAAAGCACTAGGAAATCGGGTAGATAATACCAGATATCTAAATCAACCGAGTAGCTAGCCAGTCTCAGAGTGGGATGAAGAAGGCCGTTTTAGAGTAAGGATAAATCGTCTTCTAGGTACTCGGTCATATGAAGATGTCGGAGGTAAATCGATATGGCAATCGACAACTGAATATTTGCTAATCTCTTCGAGGCTGTAAGCTTGCAATTCGATGAATCCTAACATGGTTTTAACAGAGGGGTAATTTTCTCTTTAATCACGCATATCTGATCCTGGATGCGTATATCTGATCCTGATCTGTGAACATAGCCGAGTTGGAGGTGTGAAGGTCACGTTACCATCATTTGAATGGGTCAATCAGAGCTGTCAAATACGGGTAGTCCGGCCTTTCCTCAATAAGAGTCTTGCCCTCAATTTTCACAGCCTACAGCCACGAATTTATTGGTGCTTGATAGTCGTACAAACTAGTTGTTTCTTCTACGGATCAATTTTGCATGTTAGCCATCTTTCACGATGAGCATTCATGAAAGTCTTGGCATTCATTGCGGTTGGCCAAATGCCTAAGGATTTATACTATATATAGCCTAGCTTCATGCTTCCTAATCCTGCATCACATGATCATGAGACGCGGCAAACTTTGTTTGCACGACAAGTCAAACGTGAAAGTAATGGCGCAACATATATTGCAATTATACAAAACACAGTCTTTCCATCGCCATCTCTATCGCACAATATTTATTACGACTTTACGAGTACAACCATCCTGGTGGTGGTACGTTCTTCACCTGTAGGTAGGCGGATTTCGAGACTCCTCTTCTAGGATGGCTAGGTACCACCTCTTGTAGGTTGATCAAATGTCACCTGTAGCAGGCGGATCTCGAGACTATTCTTCTAGTAGGATGGCTAAGTATCGCCTCTTGTAGGCTGGTCAAATGTCACCTGTAGCAGATGTATCTCGAGACTCTTCTTCTAGTAGGATGGCTAAGTATCACTTCTTGTAGGCTGGTCAAATGTCACCTGAAGTAAGACCAAGTATCTCCCTCCTACAACCAGCTTGGTTTCTAGATAAATATATTGTTGAGGATAGTATTCTAAGGCTTTTCATTCTGCTTACATGGGTCACATCTTAATACCTATCAGAATACCGCTAACAATTGTCTTTGCAGGTGTCCGATCTTCAATACAATATAACATCAGGCCGCTATGGCTTCTCCGACGTTCGGCTGTACAGAGGTACCTGTAGTTATCAAATGGGTGGATGTCGGACAATACAGCTATATTGGAACACGAATTCAAAATCTACGAATGAATATACACCTCGGCACACACGAAAGTCCCAAATTGCTCTTTTGGTTCACAGTAACAGTTGGAGTCACAGCGAGCCCTGAATCCTCTACGATACGCACGAAGTTGCTCTACTTCGTTATCCAAGCTAGTTTGCTTGGCTACAACGAGAATGATACATGCCTCTCGTTAGAGACTCCAAACTCTGATTGTTCTCCCGACACTAGCACGGCTATAAGAGAGGCTGGAATATGTTCCGATTATGCCTCTGTTTCCCGTATATGCTTTCAGCTCCACAATCATGGCACAGTGTTCATGCCTCCTACTGAGAAGCATGCCTTTACCCCTGCGTCGGACAATGTTTTACAACTGTTGGCTAGCATGGAGTCCCTCTCCCAGGCTAAGCAATTCTGGGTATATACGTCGCTTGAAGATTCGCTTCTTACGAATATTTGGAAAAGGATCGATCGAATACGCAATGGAACCTTTACAGGTGACTTTACGACCCAGAGTGTATATAAACGTGGTATGGTATGCGACAAATGGACGAATTTCAATCAATTTGTGAGACAGGAGAACCCAGCAAAACGTAAAAGCAATCTTCATGGCGTAAAGCATAACTCCGAGCCTCCGCCGCTATATACCAGTGAATGTCAGGGTGCCGGAGTAGAACACAAAGGTAACTTAGCAGTTGACCTAGTATCAAGCAATAGCGCTGACATGCTAACAACAAAGATGGTGATCGACTATACGAATCCAGTAAAATCTTTAGCAAACATCCATCTTCCCATGACCTCGATCAACAGCTTGTAGATACCGAATCCGATGAAGAATTGTCTATAGGGCGGAAGCGCAAATACAACAAGATATCTTTCGATACCTCAGGTAACCTTAAAAACTTGAATAGTGCTAGTATACTTGATTCCAGTGAGCGATTCGTTTTGCGCCTTTCTTTTCCCTCAAGATTCCTCCAGTACTACTAACTATGTCGCCTAGATAAATCCTACTTGGATCGTCAGAGCTCCAAAGTTCGGTTCGTCAAACCTCGTAGTGAAGTTCCGGGCTATCTTGAAAAGCAATTGGCTGCCTTTATACGTTGGGTATTAGAGATCGACTTACACTTGGAAAAGGATTGTGAGCAGGTGTTCTCAGATCTTGGCGGGGCAGTGTCTCATGGAGACCTAAATAAGTTCAACGAAATCAAGACAGATTGTATGGCGAATATTTATATCACATATGCTAAGAGAGGATCCAAATGGGTTTTAAGGAACACTATCTGAAAAATACATTGCTATAACTCTATTTTGAGCTATCGTTGTGATATTTTCGATACGAATGATAACACTTTGTCTCAAAAGAAATATAAGAGCAGAATACAATTTATTCTTAGAATTTATAACCGAGGATTGAGAGTCTAGTGTCTACAGATAGACAGAGTTCTCAAGTAATCCTATATCTATACTATAATGGATAATGGTATAACGATAGATCTATAGTAGTTTCGCTTATATAGACGACGCCGACGCAATCTTTAACGGTTTTATCCACGTTTCGCTTTCAACATGGAACTGATGTGGTTCGACATCAATCTGTCTATTCACTTGTCTTATATTGTATATTGCAAACTAACCCTTAGCTTACCTTCTGGCTTTTGGTCCCTTGTATTGAAACTCAGCTTTCCAAGTTCAATTCGTTTCGAGGCAGAAGCTAGAGATCAAGATTACAGGCACCTGCCATCGCAGAAACCAATTTTCATAGCTTGATAGATTATAACTGGTCCGTTGGTCGGTAAGATGCCTTTCTCGATGTAGAGACTATCATAATAACATTTGCAGGGGTTCTCAAGTTCTATGAATATGTATATGGAATATCAGCTGTGTACTGTACAAGCTTCGTTATCGTTCGCTTCGTAGAGCACTGATCATTGCAGAATTTGGATTTGCAATGCTCGATCACGGAATCCTGATTTTTGCGTCTGATTTATGATAGGACACAATCCTTGGAGAAAGATAGTTTACCTGATGAAATTTTGATGTTTGCATACCACGTCTCCTTCTTAGTTGAGCTAGTGATCAGATTGGCGATGTGAACAGGGTATATAGCCAGCCCTTGTTTGCTTTTAATTTCCTTGGTAGTAAAAGCCCCTTCCTAGATTTGTACTGTTCCCGTCGGGCAGCAGATGTCCACTTGTGATCAGTGTAAGCCCAGATCGGCATATCTGGATGCTCTATATGTGTAGGACAATGACGGGCGAGTATAAGAGCAGGGGCCAGAGCGATGTGGCGATTCGTATACCAAGAGAATAGTGGACTCTCCACAACATCCGGCTTTTGTTATTCTCCTGTTTTTGGACAAATTCTCGCGTATGCTGGTCTCTTGTTTCTGCCTGAGTGCGCTCTAGACCCTATACCTAATAATTCTGGACTCCTATTGGCTGGACTCCTATCGGCTTAACGTTTAACGTTTTCTCTTACAGCCCGCTTCTTTAAACTGAAGATATAATACGATCGACGTTAAGAGCGAATAAAGTGATCGGTAGTCTATTCAAGCGGACAGATGAAGAATCGAACTTGATTTTACTTTTCAACTTTATCCTGCTTTGATTCCGCGAATTAAACTTATATATCCTATCGACTTATATACCGTCTCTATAATACTTATAAGAGCGTGTTTTAGTTGAATGCAGGGCCCATGCGTAAAGTACTTTCTTATGTCTTTTCATACAGAATTCACCTATTTTTGAATTTGATATTAAATTGAATGATTCAATAAATCTTAATCAATCATTCAATTATATAATTTCAGCTTTTGTGTAAAGTCTTTTAATTAGAACTAAATCTATATCGAAATTTTGATATTCAAAATTACAATAAAGAAACAATACTTATTTTATCTAATACTTACAAGTTAATACAATTATAAAATCACTAATTTTAATTTTTCAATAATCATTGACTAAACTCCTAAAGTGTTGAAATTGATATTTGAATTAATTTATATATGATATAAAATGAAGTAATGTAGTTTATTAGTGTATATACTATATCAGTATATGTATTACTTTTATTTCAATTTATATTCTTCAATCTCAACATACGATTTATTAATCATTTATTATATAATCGAATAATAAAAAAAGAAAAATACTTTTAATTATTGAAATTATCAAAAAAAACAAAAAACTTTCAATTCAAAAGGTTATTAAGTTATATAATATTATATTTATTATATTTATTTGAAAAATAAATAAAACAATTTTTATAATTGAATTTCAATTATAAAATCTAAAATTTATTAAAATAAAAAAACAAATGATTATTTTATATATTTTTAATATAAAATCAAAAGGTTTTTTTTTAAATTTAAAGGGGTAGAAGATATAATAAATTATATTTTTGAATTATGAAAAAAAAACTATTTGAAAGCTTTGAATATATTAATTTATAAAATAATATAAAAAATTAAAAATATATTTTAATTATATTTATAATTTTCAAAAAACTTTTTATAAAGATTTTAAGTTTTTTAAAAATAGTTTTGATTAGTTATAAATATATAAGCGAAATATAATATTTTAAATAAAGATTTCTATAATTCTGATAAAACAAGCTTTATAATAGAAATTATATATATAATAATAATTATTATTAATATTGAAAGATGTGATAAAAACAAATCAATATAATTAGATAATCAAGAATGAGTTATAATAATAATATATGGAAATGAAAAGAATGAAATTATTCTTCTATTTTTAGTAATTTAAGAATAGATTTATCTTTTTAATTAATATATTAAAATCAATCTTTTTGTGAATTAAATTATTAAATCCATATTTAATAAATAAATGTTAAGGTATGAGTAAAGACTTATATTATATTATAAGAATTAAAGAGCTATAAGAGAATAAGACCCTATTTATAAGAAATAGGGCAAGTTAATAATCTATATTTGAAATATAAAGGTAATTATAGATTATATAATTAATACTATAATAATACCCTCTACTCAAGACAATTAGT